CTAATCAGTGGAGTTACATTCTCAAAAGAAGATAAAAAAAATAGGAGCTACAAATCAGTAACAAAAACACATAAGTGTCAACCGAACCAAAACTTGCAAAATCAACTTGCTCTTCCCGGTTCCTGTATCCATGAACAAGGTCAGTAGTAGCTAAAACAAGAAGAACCAAAGTACAAACAGGATTAGGACCTCTCAATAGTTAAACTAATCCTTGAGTAAAATTGTTTTAGAAAATTACTTGACAGATTTACAAGGGCAACCTACTTTTTATCATTGTTAGGTTCAAACTATTTTTTTGCAGCTTCTCTATTAGTCTCATACAAGCTAAGTTTCACAAAAGTTTCGCTTTCTCCAGACCTATATTATGTGCCACCTCTGCAGCTTGGATATCAAATTCTGAACAAAAGGTTTGACATCTCTGCAGCTTTACAACAAAGGACAGTATATACTTAAAGTTTGAATTGATTAGTATCTACAAAGGAAAGGCGCTAAGCATCATATCTACCCATTGCCTTAGTTGCTATGACTGTTCTTGAATATATATATATATATATATATGCTAATTAGATTTGGACAGTGTAAAAAACAAACCATGAGGTAATCACACAGAGACATATTTCATGGTGATTAGACTATATGTATGCTAATTAGGTGTTACTATTCATCACCCAGGGTGCAGAATAAGTTATTCTTCACCCGAGGTAATTTTACGATCATTTCATAAATATAAATTATATTTAAAATACAAATAGTTACATTTTCCATGCACGTGGGATTTCCCATGATTTATGCAGGGGCTAAACTATTGCTTTTGGGTCACTATCATACTGTTGAGCACTAGAATCAGTTTGACCCCGTGTAATGTAAATATACACAATAATCCTAGCCCCTGCCTTCAGTCCTCAGTTCACAGGAAGAAATTCATCTTATGACTGTATAAGAAAATTCAGTACATACTACTAAAGCAAATTTCACTCCCCAACTAAGATTTTTAATGAGGCCATCTTCGATAGTGATGCTATCAAGCATAATCAGATATTCACAATAACAGCAGGCAATCAACAAGTTGCACCATCAAAATGCATTTTTGGAACTAGAATAAGGCGCAGAGAAATATGAACTAGGGAGTGGAAATTCTGCTCTTGAACTACAAAGGGTTAACAGTTAGTACTTAATAGCATCTAAGGCCTAATATAAAGGCTTGTGTGACTGACAAGTAAGAACAACCAATCAAAAAAATAATTTTTTTACTACAGAACCTAAATACTGTACAAGGAACATCTTTATCTCTCATGCGAAGGAGACCCTATGCACAGAAGGTTAGACAAATTAAGTTTATATCACCGGAAGTAAAAGGAATGCACCTTTAGTTAAATGGGGGATATCTGAAAAGCCTGCCTTACAGGAAGATTCAAAAGAATTATCAGGAAACCTTGATTTGAATCTTTTCAAGTTACTGATTTCTGGACTACCAAGGAGAACAAAGGAGAAGAGGGTCAACCAAAAATGGAAATGACTCCTCTTGGTTTGTGGGTTGGTTCAACCAAAAAATAAGCAAATATTAACAGCCGTTCTCATTGCAATGGAAATAACTCTATCTGTAAACAGGTACTAGGAGCCAAGCATTGACAGCATGCACACAGACCAACATTTGAATTACTCATGTCATCAGATGGATAATCACAATAATTTTACTTATGCAGTTGGTTGAAGAGAGAATAGCAGGTTACTTCCATACACAAACTAATGGAGCCTAGCTATAACCATATGATCACTCAGCAAAATAACACATTCTCGTCTAGTTTATTCTATAGAAATTAACAGGAAATAACCTGAATGAATAATGGGTGAGCGTCAGTACGACACTCTGCAGTTCAAATAAATCTAACTCGAATTATGTGAATATCTGGCTAATGGCAACTAAACAAAAGAAATTACGTGATGCATTGTATCTGGAATTCTGGAGTGAGAAAAGATTTGGGAGCATTACTGAAGAATACACACGTAATGAAAAAGGGCTGAGAAAATAGATCCTTGCCAGAATCTCGTACCAGCCTGGCCTGACGGTAGAGGATGGAACTGCGGCAAGGAGGGCTAGTAAAGGACTTGTGGGGCTGGATGCAGGTCTTCCACCGGTAGGAAAATGCCCAAATCCTCTGCATTAGATTTCACGTGGTGCTGCCCACCGCCAAATAACCTCAGGGCAGAAGCGGTGGCGGTGGAGACGCTGTAACGTGTCGCTGCGAAGCTGAGGCATCGATTCCTCCTGGCTGAAAGCCAATGCCGACGAGGGCGCCCAACGCGAAATCGCCCGCTCGCCGCCGAAACTGCTCGGCCCTCGCCTCCGATCTCGATACTGCTGGTAATGGAGCCCACATTTTCCAGAAACTTCGGGGAGGGGGTAGGATTAGCTCGCAATACCTGCA